TACACAGAGAAAGCTACAAATCACTTTGTGGATGAGAAAAAAAAAGTCTGCATCCTTTTCTAATTGAGGCTGAGATCCCTGTGTGTTCCTCACAAACATGTTGCTACTTGGCTGAAAACCACAAAAAAGCCTCTTGTTTTGAAATCTGTGTAAACAACCCATGTCAGAAACAAACATGTTTCATGTTCCCAGGCTGTGAAAACCATTCAGTTGTACACTTTCAACACAGGTACAACACACATACAAGCTAACCTACACATATTTAGCCGCTGTGGTTGGAACCACTCGACGCTCCCTCATTACAAAAAACCAAAGCAGTGAGTTTCTCAAAGCAGAACGATTTCAACATGGCCTCCAGCCAAAGTGTCAGATCGAGAGACATCTGCAGAGCAGCGAAATGAAAGTGGAGGAAACCAGAGACAGAGGCGAGGACGTCACTGACCTGCAGACAGATTGCCAGGTTGACCCTGCAGCCGAAGGAGGTGCTGACAGCTCGAGGGTGGAGTCCCAGGTCCTTGAAGAGCTTGGAGAAGGACTGTGTTAGGGCTATCCTGGGCCGCTCCTCCGCTACAACCACACAGGTCCTCACCCGCGACAGGTCCAGTCCTCGAGACTGGAGGATACAACAAGGACGGAGATTCAGAGGTTGCCTCTGAGCCTCAAAGAACAATCCTTAGTTAAACTCATAAAATAGGATTCCTTCATCGCCCACCTTCAGCGAGTCGGTCTGCAGGCCCAGGCCTTTGGTGCAGAGCTCCATGACACTGTAGGAGCAGAACGTGTCTCGGACTTTGTACTGACTGACGGCAGACAGCCAGAGAGCTGGGTTCACCTCCAGCTCGGACGGAGGGATCAGGATGGACTGGTGACCTGAGTACACACTGCAGAGCGAAACCAGACCGCAGGAGACTGAGTGTGCGGTACTGATGGAAATAGTTCTGACAAAAGACTACTGCATGATCAATATGCAATACAAGCCACTACACCCCTGACACCCCCTTGTTGACATCATTATGCGACCTCATCATCCCATAAACACAGATGTACCAGGTCTATCAGACTTGTATTTTGGTCTCTTTCACCTGAAATCAGCTTTAGTAAGGTCTCTTCATCGCTCTTTTGTCTGTGCTGCTGCTCACCATGCTGATAAATCATCTGTCTACGCCACTGATAGCCTCCTGTTTTTCTCAAGTCACTTGCACACAAGTGATCTTGGAGTTTGTCTTTTGCACATGCGCTCTTGTAGAAAGCTGATTAGAAACCTGGTGACGTGTATACATGGCAGAGAAATCAGCGTCCTCTGGGAGAAATCTACCTGGGGACATCAGGTTTCCCTAGTCCCCTGCACCAATTACAGAAAAAGCTGACGGTAACCTGGTTACTTAAGTGCATGTAAACGCAGTCAGTGGTCTAGAATAAATTTTCGTGAAATGTTAAAACGAAGAAGAAGAAAATGTTAAAACTACAGGCAAACATTTTCCAACATTATACGGCACTGAGAAAACCCTCAACATGCCAAGAAACATATAAGCACAAATTACTCTAATCAAAAAAATTATCTTGCATCAAAGTACTGTTGTCATACAGTAGTTTCCACACAACTACTGCAGCACTGTGAGTGGAAGGGGAAGCAGACGGCCTGTGCTCTCTGCAGCCACGTCCCAGTAAACACACCACTTCTAAACAGATGCTTTAGAAAACAAAAACTTTTTTAATCTGGTGTGTTTGTGGTTTCATCCTTCTTCCCAAAGGCCTTTGAAAGAAGTGTTTGAAATGGGTGAACATAACAGGAGTGAATTTCACAAGCAAAACAAAAAACATTTAATTTACTTTGACTTAGTGGTGTTTGTCTAATTCAGTGTACTTGCTCTGTTTGTGTGTCTGACCTGCAAAGGCACCAGAGGACGAAGCCCAGGCCACAGTACGGGTCCAGGCAGATGGCGACCTCTCTGGAGGGGTAGAGCTCACACTGCAGCTTGATGGAGCGACAGAAGGCACTGGTGGCTGTGTGAGACATCTGCCACAGACACACACAGGCATAGTCATCAAGACGCACATTCTGTCCTAAAGTAGTTTTTTGCAAGGAAAATGAACAGTTCTATGAACAAATAGTATTTTTCAGTTACTGGTGTCAAGAAACTACCAGTCCCTGGATACAGTGGGGGCTGTATGATTTTGTTGAATGATGAGTTGAACTGATGATGCTAAATGAAAAGTCAAATGACCCCCCAAAGTTACACGAGTTTCCATGAAGGTTTGTATCAGAGTAGATGACAGTGCTGCACCAGGTAATGCAGCTGAAAACCTGGAGATCAGCTTCAGCCAGCTGGTCTACAGTGTTTAAGGGATAATCGAATTTAGTCTTGTGCACGTTACTGTGTTTACCTTGACTCCAGCGAGCATGCCGGTGGTGGAGACGCTGAAGTCCAGGTAGGCCAGGGTGTCAGGGTTGGATGGTTTATACAGCAGAGGAGGTTTCTTCTTTGGCAAATCATCTGAAACAGAAGTCAGCCTGGTCACATCTACACAGTATAGAGCACTCAGCGTCACCTGAACTCAGGAGGGCAGACACTGAAACTCTCATCAGAATCTTTCATTTGTAGTTTTGTTTCCTTTTTTTTTAAAGTTTGCCTCTATTATTGTTCTCAATGTCGTAGCATTTGCAGAAACAACAAAGTAGTATTTTTGTCTTTGCAAACTGTGTGCGTGTTTGCACCTGTGTCCAGGACGGGGGGCCAGGTCCGGACGTCCACTGTGGCCGAGGCTTCTTTAGACTTCAGCAGTTTTGAGATGAGCTGTGTGGTCATCACGCACACCGACCGGCTCACCTGCACAATGACAGTGCCGACAACTTCAGTCTGATACAGTGCATTTACTGTAGATGCTGTGTTACCCAACAGTGTGGAAGAATGAGCACAGACTGAAACTGAACTGTTCACTTCAACTTGTGGTAAGATTTACAGCAGAGCAGCAGGAGAGCTGACCTCCGGCGTCGCCTGCTGCCAGCTCTCCGCAAAGATGAACGAGGCCGGTCACATTCATTCACTCATTTCTCTAGACTACTGGCTGTTCTCCCAGTCTCTGAAGCTGCCGACTCCTTTGCCCCTTCATTCTGTCTCCTTAAGTCTGTACAAGTTTTTATTTCACAGCTCTGTGGGTGATTTGTTAAATGACTGTTTGGCACAGAGGCGGTTCAGTCTGCCCTCATGTCATCTTAGGACGACACATCAGTGGCAAACTCAGTTGCTCTTAGATTCTGAGCTCCAGCTGCCACCATATTCTAGGGTGTAAATCAAATATACAGGCAGTGAAATATACAGTAAAGTGATGAGGATAAAGTCAACTGGGCTGAAATATGGGGCTTATTCAAAAATGAATATTACTACATTACCTTATTTGGAGAAAAAAAATGAAAAGAAGCATGAAGTACAAATTTCAACAGCCCGGAATGATGCAATGTTTGTGCAGATTTCCAAAGACTCAGTAAAGGAAAATGTAAATCTGTGAAACTTGACATAAACTATTGAATTAATTCAAAACCTTTAATTAATGTTTCCTCTGTACAAAAAAAATCCACTTCCATTCGTTCTTATTAATCATTTTCTAGCAAAAGATTATTTACAAAAACTACATCTGCTGCTGGAGTTTGGACCTATTTAGACTGTATACTAAACCGTGCACTGCTGCTCCGTGCACCTTGGAAGTAGGTGAAGTTGTACCAGGAATCACTACTTTCCAAAGGAAAACGAAAACACTCCAAAAATGTGTCAGATTTCCTAAAGGAAAATCTTCATATTGTTGCATCAGACTTGGCTCAGCCATCATTTATTCAAACTGTTTCTGTGCCTTTGTTTCTCCTTTTCACCCACATGCCAACTTTTCCCCTGCAGCCACTGTGTATGATGTATGTTGTAATATTAAGACACTGACGTTCTGGCATCTTTATTCAGATTTATAAACTCCAAGTTAACATGTACACTGAAACTTTGTTTTTCTTGTTATAATTCAGGATGCTAAATACAGTAATTTGAATACACTAATCAAAAAATATCTCCTTTCTCTGTGTTTAAGACAGTGACTCACTGAGTAAAGTAAATCAGGGAGTCACTGTCGGATGGTTTTGGGGTATTTCAACATTCAGTGAGTATTTCCTGAAAACTCTTTCTCTGTTAGAGGGCAGCTCAGAGCTGACAGGAACTGACGGATGGCATCTTCAAACCCCAGGATCACCAAGACAGCCCAGGGGTTTGTTTTTAAAGCTAGCTCAGATGTTATAACTGATGTCGAGAGATGATGCTGTGAGGAAAACAGAATCAATACGGTGGGTGAAGTCAGGACATTTGGTTTTTACCTCTACGATCATCTTGACGGTGGGCAGCGTGGTGGCGATGTTCTGCGGGTGAGGTGGTCGCACTGTGATTGGTACACAGCCGGCATAAAGGCAGCCATAGAACGCCACGATGAGGTCGATACCTGAAGGAGGACAAGAAGATGAGGTAAGGAAAGGGAGAGGGAGGGTGTGAGGGTATTAACAAGGACAAGGAGGAAGAGAAGGAGGAAAGGGTAGGGTAAAGGGAGAGGGTAGTGATGGAAAGGCAAGGGCATGAGCAGGGGGGAGACAAGTGGAAGAAGATGGAGAGGAAGAAGAAAGGAGGGAATGAAGATGAGATGTGAGGAAGGTACAAGAGAAGAGAAGGAAGAACAGTGAAGGAAGGAGGGAAAAGGAGGAAAGAAGAGGAGAGAAGGGATGATAGGAGAAAAAAGGTCATGTATGCTGTCACCGAGGCGAGGAGGGTAAATATTGAGCAGTGGACTCTGGAGGTGATTAAATGAGTCCTTCTTTAAGACAATCTCCTTGTGAGTGGGAGTTTGTCCTGCATCACTGCATCTGCGCTGCCAGGCTCCGTGTCTCAGGGGGAAATTACTACTCCTCTGCTCTTCATTTTCCTGTGGCTCTCTCTCTCTTCGACCTGCCTGTGCCTTCCTCATTTAAGCAGTTTGTCCTTGTTTATATGGCAACACAAAATTTAAAGGATCATTACAAAGTCTGGGCACATTTAGCCCAAATGATGTACAAATACTTAAAACACAATTTTTCCAAAGTAGCATTTCAATTATCTGAAACCAGTTTTATGTAGCCTCCTGTTTTTCTGTACTTAATAGATGCAGCTGCTAGTTTCAATGAGGCTTTGTTTCCAGTTTGACTTTTTAAAAGTAAACTCTTCACAAATGCCTCTGTGACTGCAAAGACGTACTTGAACTGCTGAAATGTGACGGCTCTGAGCTGCCGCTTCACACTGCAGTCAGTGTTTACCTGGAGGGTAGACCAGTGCGACGTGGTCTCCGTCCTGCAGGTGGCCCCGTTCAGCTAGCATGGCAGCAATCTTCTCTGCCCTCTTATGCAGCTGAACACAAGTCAGAGAGCTGGCTATGGTACCCTGGAGGAGGCCAGACACACACACACACACACACATACACAGACAGATGATTGACACATCCAATCAGCAGCGTCTATCATCACATGTCAAGTCTTATTTTCTGCTGAAGCATCTCGGTGCTGAACAGCTGTAAACAAACCATTGGATCATATTTCTATTATGCAAACATACAGAGTCAGTTCACACACAATCTCATATACAAAAACATCATGACTGTGATAACACAGACAAACAATCACATATATGCTATAGATCATTTCTCTCTTTCATTCTGTTCGAAGTTTTCAGCCATTCTGCAAAGACTATAAAACAAACAGCACATTGTAAAGCAAAGCAGAGAGACCCTGGTATCATGGTTTTATTCGTTCATGGTACTGAGATGAAAAGTGAGAAACCGGATCCCTCACAAGATGTGAAGGGTCAAATACTTGAGTGTTTAACGGCACAAAATGTGATTCTTGTTCACAAAGTCCAAATGAATCCACAGGATAATCCAGGCACGCCAACTACTCACAGCATTCAGGGCCGTGTGTGTGTGTGTGTGTGTATGCACCTTGGCTGAACCTAACTGCGGACCTCACGTTAAAAGCAATGTTAGTCACACATCTGCACAAAATATGTGGCAGTGTTCACTGGGAGGCCTTACTCTGGAGTTGAGCAGTGTGTACAGGACGTGGTCTGGAGTGGTCTGGGCTCTCCACTGTAACACCTCCGCAAGGAAGAGGAACTGGAAGACACAAACAACAACACAGGAACAGTGAGTGATGACACACACAAATGCAGGGAGGTGAGGGGAGGAAACAAGGCTTCATACTTCAATGGCAAAGACGAGCAGAGAGAGATGAACATTAGAGATGTGAGGGGAGAACAAATCAAAAGAGAACGTTTCTGTCTGGCTCCATCAATTTGTCATGATTTGCTGCCAAGCCATGACACCGCAGTGGGGGCGAGTCTTATTTGTGCCTTTGTATTACTTACATTATGGGGACCAAAACCCGTTAACACACTCACATTGTGGGGACTTGAAATGACTGAATTTTAGGGTGGGTTTAAAGTTGGGCTCAGGGTCAGGGTTAGGGTTAGGCAAGTAGTGGTTATGGTTAAGGTGAGGATATGTGATACAGGAAATGAATGCATCAATGTAAAGTCCCCACAAGGAATGAAAACACAGCGCGCGCGTGTGTGTGTTCAAGCTGCCGGCCTGTCGTCATTGGTGACAGATGAGGATTCAGCTTTCAGATTCATACCCCGCCGACCACAACGAGAAGCAGACCTCTGTTCTGTCCTGCACTGCGCTTGTCACATCTGGGAGGACTCGGTCTGGGCGCGCTTGATTTATACTGCAATTTTCACCGACTGAGGCCAGCTGCTCAAAACTGAATTATTATGCTTATATGTGAAGCTCTGTTACTCTGGCAGGGTTGAAGTGGGCAAGTGTCATTTGTCTTCAGCTTCATGTTCTGGTGGGTGCAGAGGGAATCAAACCAGGCCTTCACTAAGCCACCCAGTACTCGATACCATCAGAACAATACTGTCCAGATCTCAGTGTTGATCTGCTTTCTGTTGTTCAGGATGTTTAACATCTTTATTTGCACATACACTCACAAGCCACTTTATTAGGTACACCTGTACAATTGTACGCAGCACTTCCACCTTAGCGTCTGTGTTTATGAAGCTCAAAATGTTTCAGTTTTTGGTGAAATTGCCAAATGTTTATTATTGAGGTCACAGTTAAAGGTGGTGCTGTACCACCTGAGAGGATCACAATATTAGGAACACCTCTGAATATAATGCAGTCCAGAACAAGCCCACCTTTAACTGTGACCCCAATAATAAACATATAAATGAATGTATACATTTATGACAATTTTACCAAAAACAAACATTTTGAGCTTCATAAACACAGATATTAAAGCCGAAGTGTTGCATTGAAGTGCATACAGTTGTACAAGTGTACCTAATAAAGTGGCCTGTGAGTACTAGAAACAGCACTGGGGGTCCAAGTTTCCCATTTGACCATTTAAACAGGTGGAGCTGACCCACAGAGTTTGAGCTGATGAAAGCCTCTCATCTTCTCAGCAGCAGCTTCATGCATTACAAATCTCTGGGGGTGAAAAGACTTAAAGAAGGGTTTTCTCCCCCAATGAAAATATCACTCAGGTGCTTGACTGCTCGACTCTGAGCTGACATTAAACTTTCATGACCCTAAATGAAAGTCTGCTTCCTTCTCAGCTCTCTCAGGTTCCTGCATCACATATTAGCAGCTACTGTTTTGTCAAAGTATTTAACTAAAATGTCCTGCAGCTCCATGAGAGTGGCTCACAGTGACT